ATGGATACTGTAAACAAGGGGCAAGCAGTGCAGGGCTTCCAAATGTTGCTGGACTGCAGCTCCTATCATTCATGAGAATTAGCCAGGTTGGCAGGGGCTGATGTGAGTTCTTTTATATATGTATAAATGTTATTTTCTAGTTTTTACAATATAACAAATACACACCTTGCAAACACAAATTTTGAATACAATACCATATTTTACTTCTCCCCCCACCTTGTGGTTCCTTTTCTACTTTAGATTTTTAACACTGCATATTCCAATTTACTGCTTGATTTAAATTAATCCTACTAATGAACTTACTTGTACTACAGAACTTTTCAGATATTCTACAAATTTTCCCCTTTCTTTAATAATCCCCCCCCCCCCCGGTTTCTTTTTACCTGTCAGGTTATCTTAAACATTTTCTTCAGTTCATTATAAATCATTTCCCAGAAAACTTTTGTTCTTTTACAGGACCACCACATATGATAGAAATTACCTTCCTTTTCTTTACACTTCCAGCATGAATTTGATTTTGATTTACACATTTTTGCAAGTCTACTAGGAGTTAAATACTCATAAAGTTTTCTTTCAATGTGTAACATGCTGTAAAACAGGCAAAGGCAAACTTGGCCCTCCAGATGTTTTGGGACTACAATTCCCATGATCCCTAGCTAACAAGACCTGTGGTCAGGGATTATGAGAATTGTAGTCCCAAAACATCTGGAGGGCTGAGTTTGCCTATGACTACTGTAAAACATGCTGTGAATTTTAAATCTACATTCCACAGCTTTTCCCACGCAGCCATTTCAATATTATAACCAATATCCCTTGCCCAGTGGATTTGATGCAAGTTCTATTCCAGAAACATCTAGAAGTTGCCACACTATGGCCAGTGTAAAGATGTCAGCAAACTTGGGAAACCTGAGTCCAAATGTCTGCAAGGTACATTCTAAAGGTTCAGTACTGTACTTTTCCTGTAAAATGGAGATAATAAGGATGCACGTCATGGAGCTTTTGCATGGCTAAGAGGGAACATAAATTGCTTCTTGTGGATAAGACTATAAATAGCAACCCAGTGCAGAATTTCTGCATAACTTCCTGTCTGGTAATTTCCCATTTGAGGCCGAGAGCCTCCTCGGAACTTCCCACACTGATATTCCTATTCCTTACAGCAGGAATGGACAGTGGTGTAATCAGGGATCAAATCATTCTTATGAGGCCATTCTTTTTAACCACACCTTGATTAAAATTTGGTCGAGATGACAGGCAAATGCACTTTGGGAGGCAGATTCACACACTTTCAGCTGGCAATCCCTGTGCCAGACAACAAATAGTTAACTTTTATGGGCTACCTCACTCTCTTACACAATTAGTCCTTCCTTGAGTAAAAGTCACCAGTAGTAAGGAAACTATGATTTTGGAGGTTGATGTGTGGGATGACCAGATGGGCTTTTATTCAAAGATGTGCTCACTTCAAGGACTGATTCATTAAAGCTATCAATCTCACCATTAAAATAATGGCCTACATTGTTGAAAAGTTTTCTATGTTTGAAGAGAATTTTATTTGAAGCACATTGTGTTCTGAATTTTCTGAACAAACATTTCCTGGTTTGTATTTCACAATCTCTTATATTTTCAACCAGGATGAGGGAGTACCAACCTAGCTTTTAAGAAAAGAAGCCATATAGAATCCTTGGAAGTCTATAAAGTTTGTATAAAGAAGAGAGCCATTGTGTTAGAATGGCACTCCTTTCACAGAGCCAAGAAAGAATCGTGGAATCCAGAAGCTCAACATTCCATCGCTAGCTGACAAATACTTAGTATAACTTTTGAGTAAAGATGCCATTTTAGCTGTCTGTGAGGCTAACTATTTCACTGCTGATCATTTTAGCAGCGATATTGCCATCTTCCCCGTAGCGTTTTGTAAGAGTATTAATAGGAAACATGTATACTGCATTTTTTTTAGAGATTTCAGAATGTTTTCTGCCCAAAATCTCAGTAATCTTTATGACAATGTTGTCAGGCATGCCAGAGTTCTCATAATGAACATGAGGGCTGGAGGCTTCCTGGGGCTACCTAATGTTTGCTATTAAGGTGAGATTTTAACAATAGTCTCCCCAGCTCATGTTTATAGCCACTATCAAACACCACCTTTTGAAAATTCATATGAAGACATATTCATCAGGTGAAGTTCCCCCTCATCAGTTGTATCTGCATAGCATGAAAAGCTCCACCTGCTGGATTTATCCTAAAGGTGTTAAAATGGTCAATAGACTTGCCAGGGGGAAGTGGATAATTCTAACCTCCATCCCACCTCATGTGTGCTTATTCTTATACTGAAAGGTGTTCCCCACCCCTTTCCAGGTACCAATTGAGCCAGTTCTCTGCAGCTACTGAGATCTACAATATATTCTAACTTGGACACTGCCTAATTGAATGCCACACGTACAGTTTAAAAAATCTGCAGTCATCCCAATATTTAAGATGTGGAGAAACAGCAAACCTGACATTAGCAAGCAACAAGAAATTTTGGGTGAGCGTGCATAATCAACTCAAAATGAATGTTTTAACAGACTTAAATGTGATAAAATTTGCTGTTTGATGTACCAGTTATAGGCATGAAGCTAGGAAGAACAGTATCCATCAAAGCCTAGGAAGTTCTGGTTGCTAATGTGATGCCAGTGGACCCAAAGATGCCATTGAGGACTTTCCATGGGGCCAATGAAGCTGCTGAGCACTGCCCTTCTGCCCTCACTTCGCCTTATGTCATGAGGTGGCAAGAGAGAGGGAGAAAGGGAGGGGGGAAGAGAGAGCCCCATGGCACAAAAACATAGATCCAAGGGGTGGATCATAGTTTTTACAAGGGACCCCCTCAAAAATGCCATCAAGTCATAGGTCACCCCTGCATATACACATGTTCTATGACTTGTGTGATTTTGTCAAACATCTTGGACGACCTGTGCCTTGCATAAAAGCTTTTCATTGCTGGCAAGCACCAAACCTGATTTTTACGGTGAGCTTTTGTTTGATGGTGGTTTGGGGGCCGGGGCTCTGTATAAAATCATACAAATTCAAGATAACCCATTGTAATTCAATCGGAGCTGAATTTTCTTCAGCTTTGGAAAAGCAGTGTTATTTACTGAAGTTCTCACCCTGGGCCAGCAGGGGGATACTGTAGATAGTTTTCACCCAGGTCCACATATGCAAATAAGGGATTGAAAGTGATGTTCAGTGATTGGATAGTTACAGAAAGTGGTTACTGTTACGTTCTAGTGGAGCTCTATATAAGCAGGCTGGCTGAACCCTTCAGTTCAGTTCAGTTCTGGCCTGTAAATAAACAAGAGCTGTTTGAAGAATAGCTGTGTCGTCTGATATGTTCACCCACAACTTAACACAAAGTGTGTGTGCATATGTGCTCTTTCTCTTTTGGGTGGTGGGGTGGGGAGAGAAAGGAAAACTGACCTGGGGGAGGAGAGGAGAGAAACAACCAGAAGAGAATGTTGCCCACAGCACCCTCTCAAAATTCCAAGTGTGTCCATAGACACAAAAAGGCTGGTGACTCCATATGGGATCTTTCAGGTGGCTTCACAGCTTCCTTCTGGTATTGATGCATTTTGTAAGGCTGCGTACACACTATACTTAGGTAGGCTTTACTTTAACCATTTTACTTCGGCAATGTACACAACATACATTTAAAGCACACCCACTCGCCCAAAGAATCCTGGGAGCTGTAGTTTGTTATGGGTGCTGGGGGATGTAGCATGGCGAGGGATAAATTGCAGTTCCCATTATTCTTTTGTGTGTGTAGAGGGGTGCTGCTTTAAATGTATGGTGTGCTAGAGGAAGGGGCAGAGTTGCCATCTGATTTCAAAGCCAGCCCAATACATTTTACTGCCTGATGTAGAGCAGCAAAAAGAAAGAAAAGGGGGGGGCATACAGTAGCACATGAACAACACAGTAAATCAGACAACAATTTCCTTCCATTTAATGTCACTTTCAATATTAACTACCTAATGCCACTTTTCCGTGAGGATGCCCTTAGGACAGGAAAGAAAGAAAAGCCCACTGCTGTGTCCAGGCTGAGAGTTGAAGCTGAGGTCTAGTGTGGGGAACAGAATGGGAGGCAGAGACCACGTCCATTGTCTTCTTCTGGGCTCAGATTTTATCCATCTTACCCATGGGGGATGTATGTATCAAAAGTAGATCATGTCAAGTTTTGAAAGAATTTTGAACTTAAAAAAATAGAAATCTCAGTTTATATCACTGCATAACGGTAGGAATTAACCCTAATTATCTTGTAAATCAATAAGATTAAGACCACTCCTTTCAGCAGACACTAACATTCTGTATGCCAGTTAAAGGAAGTATATGCAATGGACCTTCTGACAACATTAGGCAACAATATCTGTTTTACTCTTAGATAACTGGTTTTCAAGCATGTGCTCAGTTTCTTCTCCAATTTAGTGTTTCAGTTCCATTATGTGATGGCAAAGAAAGAGGAGAAGCAGTCCATTTTCTGCTACAAATAGAAAAGTCTTTTCATATTTACCATGTTGATGACGGCAATATGAAGAACAGAGTCCAGAAATCAAAGGTCAGCCTCTGTAGACAGAACTATCCAGGCTCTTGCTAGTTTGGGGTGGGATTCCATAACATACTGGCAAACTCAGGTCATGCAATTGTAATGGATTGCGAGGTTGTGCACAACAAACCTGCTTCCCCAAAAGATCAGCCTTTTTTTGTGATAAGGGAAGTGAAATGTTGGGAGAACACTTGCGTGGATGCAACTTCATCTAGCTTCCCCACAAACAAATCAGCACAAATGCTCATTTAACAGCCAAGGTTGTCTAATGTCCCTGAAAACAAACTAGGATGAATGTTCAATAAATAAAACATTTAGTGATTCATGTGCATATGCGAATAAGTCCTCAGCCACATAAAAACCGATGTGTGTTTGGCTGCTTGTATTGTGAATTCCTACCACAGTGCGAAACACATTAGAATATCCCAGGCTCTCACTGGGACAGCACTTCCTTCCTTAGTGTTCTACTGAGTGCGTTCTTTAACTCTTTGTTCCTCATGCTATAGATCAAGGGGTTCAGCACAGGAGTGACAAAGGTGTAGACCACAGACACCACTCGACCTTCCTCCGGCGAGTAGCTGGAGCTGGGACGCAGATATATCAAACTGCCACAGCCATACTGCAGAAGGACAACCATTAAATGGGAAGAGCAGGTGGAGAAAGCCCGCTGCCTACCTGAGGCAGAGCGGATGCGCAAGATGGCTGCCACAATGAAGGCATAGGAGACACAAACTAGGAGGAAAGGGGCAGTCAGTATTACGGCACTGATAATAAAGAGGGCAGTCTGATGGATATGGGTGTCACTGCACGCGAGCTTCAGGACAGCAGGGAAGTCGCAGAAGAAATGGTCAATCTCCTTATTGCCACAGAACGGAAGGCGCAGTATCAGGATGGAGAGCTGAATGCCAAACACGCTGCTCATGCCTAGCGTCCCAGCTACAAGACTCACACACACCCTCCAGCTCATTATGGTAGTGTAGCGCAGTGGGTGGCAGATTGCCACATAGCGATCATATGCCATAACAGATAGCAGGACGCAGTCGCCACCTCCCAAGAAGATAAAGAAGAACATCTGTGTGCCACATCCTGCCAAAGAGATGGAGACCTTTTGCGCAGAGAGGAGGTTGGCTAGGGTGAGTGGGGCAATGACGCAGGAGTAAGCAATCTCCAGGGCTGCCAGGTTAGCCAAGAAGAAATACATGGGAGTGTGGAGGGAGCGCTCTGTACGGACAATGAACACAACCACAGAGTTTCCCAAAAGGCTGAGTAGGTACAAGACCAGAAAAGTCCAGAAAAGCAACAGCTGCGTCTCTGGGACCGTTGAGAAGGGGTGGAAGTAGAAATGGGTCAGGCTAGTGTGGTTTTCACTCTCCATAGGAGTTGGTACATATGACCTGGCACGAGATAAAAAGAGAGACCGATGACGGAGAAAGTGATATCACCACCAAGATGTCAACAGGCCACTTCCATTTCTAAACATGTACAATAAACCAAGCAGCCACTAGAGGGCAGACTCCCCCTTTTTGCAAATAAAGATCTCCATCTCGCAAAACAACAGCTGTCTTAGAATCATGGAGTCATAGAATTGGAAGGGACGTTAAGAGTCATCTAGTCCCACTTCCTGCAATGCAGGGATCTCAGCTAAAGCATCCAGGACAAATGGCCATCCAATCTCTGCTTAAAGACCACCTTCTGACAGAATCCATTCTACTGTTGAACAGCTCTTACCATCAGAAAGTTCTTCCTGATGTTTCACCAGAATCTCTTTTCTTGTAACTTGAAACCATTGGTTTGGGTCCTAGTCTCCAGAGCAGGAGAAAACAAGCTTGCTCCATCTTCCACGCAGCAGCCCTTTAGATATTTGAAGATAGCTATTATATCTCCTCTCAGTCTCTTCTTTTCCAGGCTAAGCATTCCCAATTCCCTCAACCATTCCTCATAAGACTTGGTTTCCAGACCTCTGATCATCTTGGTTGCCCTCCTCTGCACACTTTCCAGCTTGTCAATATCCTCTTTTCTGGCTTGCGTGAAATTGTACAGCACAGGCATAATCTAGAAGGCATTTCAGTTCATGCTTCTGCAAATAATGAGTAAGTTTAAACTTCAGGACTGTAAAGCATTTCACATGCTGCAAGCACATCCTTTCATAGACCACTGTAGCTTCACTTTTCCTGCTCCTTCTGCTATCAGTTAACGGTTCCCCGAACTATCTTCACTAAATCTTTTACGAAACCCATCTCTCCCTATGCTGTTGCCTTGTTAATTTTATTTGCAGACTTTCTGTAGAAGGAAGTTCCATTGAAATCAATGGAATTTCCAGAGAAATGTGTTTAGAATCAGATGCTTAGATTGCAAGCTGTGTCACTTGTGTATTTTGTATTTGCTTCCAGTACAAAATTAGATAAACAACAAATAGCCGTTACACTAGCACTGTACATTGCTCTTGCTTTACTGAGCTAGGGATTGCAAAACAATTGCATGTCAGAGTTCCTGTGGTTTTACTCCATTAAAATTAAATAGACACTCCATCCAAAAGTACTCAAATCCTATTTTGTTTTTATTGAATGGAAGCGGTTGTGACAAGTGAGACCCATAACAAAATGTTGCAGTGTAGAGTGGTCCTGCTCAGGTTTCCAGCCAGCCAGCAATGCTGTCTTCTAGGATAATGTGTTCCAGTCCCACCCTGGTTTTCTGTTTTCCACCCACAACAGTCAGCATTCTATGTCTACCAGTATTCACTGGACTGTTGGGGAAGGCTCTCCCCTTAGTTCCCCTCTGCAAAATCTTGTGGTCCTCCTTCCCTTTCTTTCTCTGTTTTTGTTTTTGTCTGGATTACTTTATTTTATCTTATTGTATTACGAAACAGCTTTAATAAAATCTTATTTTTAAAATAAAAGTCTTGCTGTCCCCACAAGGTTACTGATACCTCCATCTTCTTGTGTGGAGATGGTGTCATTTTGGAAATGCATGCACCGTTTCTCATGCCTGAGCATCAGGAAAAGAAGGATTGACTAACTTTTGCTGAACATTCCCACTAGTGTTATAAAATTTTCTTATGTTTTTAGATGTTCTTTATGTGTTTTGATGTTTTTAATTGTTTCTATTTTTAATTCTACTGTCTTACTACTTTTGTGTTTGCTGTTATTTTTTAAGCTATTGTTAGTATGACAATGTAGAATTTGCCACAACCACCCTCTTCTACACACTATTTTGGAGTACAGGTGGCGAGTATCCAGGCATTTTTCATTTTAATGGCCAAGAAAACTACATTTCGACTGGAAGGTGGAAGCCTCCCTCTTTGCAAAATAAGATTTGGATGTCACCTTAAAAGACAGCAGTTGTCTTTTTAGCGCTGGCGTAGCCAACGTGGTGCCCTTCAGATGCTGTGGCCCTTCATCACTGGCCATGCTGGCTGGGACAGATGGGAGCTGGAGTCTCACAACATCTAGAGGGCATTGTGTTGTCTATTCCTGTTCTAGTGCCTGTGAAATTGTATGCTATGGCACAGCCATAGTCTAGAAACACTTTCCACATCACCTGCAAATAGGAATGTCAAATGTAAATAACTGAGCATTATTTATTATTCCAGTGTTGGCTTCATTAGGAGGTAATGAAAGTGATACAAAGAGATGGCAAAAGCAACTTCCATTTAGGCTTAACCTCTGGATACACAAAGGGGAACCACAACATTTCTGTAGAAGGAAATGTTCCAGAATATTTCCCATTCAGAACCTCACACCACTGCTAGGAAAGCATTTGCCTGGAACAATGCTCAACGTTCTGGTCATTATTCTTGCTCACAACTAATTCAATGTCCACACCCGACATGTTGTCTAAACTCTTTTGACAATTGCAAGCAGTACCATTCTGGCCCTGATTTACTTCAACTGTATGCCCAACTGTTTTTATTGTGAGAAGGGTAGAACAGTTTTTACTGGCTGACTGGCTGGGATAATTTACTAACCTGTTGTCCAAGCTGATATTGGATGCCGCTGCCCTTTCCACAAGAGAACTCTAGCTCTGAGGGCTTTATAAACCTTGCAAGATCCTTAGAGGAGCAAGGTAATCCCAATCCCTCAGTGATGCATCAAAGTCCCCACAAAAGTAAATCACATACAAGCAGCCAACAAGAGTAGAGGTCCCTGCTCTCTGAGGACAGAGGGCAGCAGAGAGGGAGGGAGACAAGGAGTCAACTCACAGCTCCATTAGAGGGGAGCACATTCAATACCAATTGCTCTCTCAGCACACAAAAATACTTCATTGTGGCCATTTCCACCAACGAAGGAGCCTTTCTGCCATGTTTGCCCCAGTGTAGCTCAGGTTTTTCACCACTTGTGCTCTAGCCATTTTCTCTCCTGTCCCAAGGCAGGTGTAAACCAGAAGATCAGTGACAAGGAGGGGGAGAGTGTTAGGGCCATGAGAGCATGGATTTTGATAGCCTGTGTTGGGGATCTAGCCTAGCGAACTATACAGTGATGTGTGTGCTCAGGCCTTAGTCTGTATCTATGCTGGAATTGTTTTTCGATGTTTTAATTATTTGGGGATTTATGCGTTTGCCACCCTGGGCTCCTTAGAGAGGAAGTGTGAGATGTAAATTTAAATAATAATAATTTCATATCATACCAAAATCGCAAATTAGTAAGAATATAAATGGTGTCTCATATTCTTGGTGCATGCAAGTACCAATTGGTACCTGTAGTGATTTTGATATTTAATGGCTTTAGAAGTACTGTGATTTTCTGTGTATAAGATGAGTGTCTTTTACTATAAAATAATGTCAAGGGGGGGCCCACATCTTATACACGGATAGTGCGTTGGGGGGACGACGTGTGATTGGTTGCACCAATCGACATGTGATTTGGGTTAGTGATTTTCTTATTTCCCCCCGAAAAAAGCTCAACCAGCCTGGGCAATGCCCCCCCCCAAAAGCTCAACAACTCTGGGTCATCTCCCCCCCCCATTTTCTTAAATTTGAGTCCTCAAAAACTCAAGTCTTATACATGGGGGCATGTTATACATGGAAAAGTATGGTAGTTTTTTAATATATGCAACAGTTTTAACAGTTTTTATATGTGTGTTTTAAATATTTTTTAATATGCGTCAGGATGCCTCGTGGGAATTGATTCTTGTATAAATAAATACAGTCATAAGCAAGATAGCAATGGGATGACTTCACTAGCAACATTGGGAATGGTGGTGTGAATTTGAATTGATGGGGAGGGAGGGAGTGAAGATGTGAGCGAGGAACTGACGCAGAACACACACACACAAGCTACACATTTTTGCAGGTCTACATTTTTGCCTTTGAAAAAGTAAAATAGATTTATAGGCCAGTTATAAAGACATTTTGTCCATTGGTTCTCCTTCCCTCCCCCCAAACCCCCCTCTTCATTTTCCTTGACCAATGGTTCTAGTGCATATCCAGGGGCACTGATGTTATACACACGGAACATTCTCTGACATGAACATGATTTATTTATTTTAAAAGTGTACACCCCATCATTCATTGCAGGACCTAGACCAGGTTACGGCAAGCATATACATTAAAAAAACATGAAACTATCACATCGGTAATTAGTAGGTATGGCACTATTAAGGCCAATAGGTAATCGACCTTGACGTTTTGCTCAAAACTGGAACCACCAGCAGGGCCTCTGCAGCAGATCTCAAGCAGAATGTTGTCTGACCATTAGAAGCACACAGCACTTTCAGCCACAGCTTAGATCTACACATAAGAGTTTGCTTTCATGTTTTGTTTTAATCTGCATATATAGGACCTTGTTTACGTCTTACTAGGTATGCTCCCCAGCCTCACTCACCCAAGGAATGTTAGTATATCAGTGCTAGTCCTACGGCAGGGCTGGGAAGCCTGTGGACATCTGGTCGTTGCTGGATGACCCCTCCCATCCTTTGACACTGACTGTTGGCAATGCTTGATGGGTTTGTTGGTTGTTGGAGTCCAAGACCATTGGAGGGCTACAGCTTAGCCACCTCTGTTCTATGGGATCATGTTCTATGAGGCTAAAGCCTGCTAGTGTCATATTGGGTGGGCAGAAAATCACTTCAACAGGAGGGCAGTGGAGGTACATCTAAATGGACCAACAATGATGTTTCTGGTTCATCCACATGTCATCACCACCACTGCTGCCTTATCCATGAATATGTCTAATTGCATTAAAATTGGTGCTCATATCACATCTTGTGTTGGGAAAATTGTGTGCAGTGTGAAGTATTCCGTGTCTCTGTTGAAAGTGCACCCTACTTTCACCCAAAATACTAGGGAATTTTGTGTTACTATAACCTTGTGTATTGTATACTAGAACAGCAATCAATAATTTTTGTGGTCTTCTTATTTTTATAATCTAGAATGTCACACAGAAAGTGTCATTCCTTGCCCATTCTGCTCAGAGGTCAAAACAACAGCAACAACATCATAGACTTTCTTTGGGTGCATGCCTGTTTGTGCATTTATTAACAAAAAACAGAATCATCAGTCCAATTCATCAGTGGAAGTTGTCTCCTGATGAATAATAGGTCCAAAATCCCCAAGCAGGTCCCACCGGGCATTTCTGGCTAGTCTGGTTTGAGGTTAATGTCTGCCTCATTTGGTACCCTCCTTTGATGACATCATTCCAGCCTCTTCTTGGGGTATTTTTTCTTCTGTTACCTCGCAATATCTTCAGGCTCCTGAATGAAATGTATTAGTTCTCTCTGTGGCTGGAAACTTGTCCAGGTTCTCCTGCCCATCAAAACAGAACTCGGTGTCACTAGTGTAGCTGTTGTTCTGCTTGCTTTCAATCGGGCATTTGATTCATTTCCTTCAAGAATACCTATACCAAATTCAGGTCAATTGGCCACACAATGCAACTTCTGCTACAGGCAAAGAACATTCCTTTTGAGGCACAGTTGCAGCTTAGACATAGAGCCTACCTATGCATCCTTCCATCACTGACCTGTGGTTTCAGTTCCACCATATCATTACAACAGATGGCAGTAGACGGTGTACCATTCCCTGGCTGCGATTCAACGCTGTCATTTCCTCTGGGGCAGCACAGCCCTTTTTAAGGTTCTGATAAGGGCATCCTTTAACTCTTTGTTCCTCATGCTATAGATCAAGGGGTTCAGCACAGGAGTGACAAAGGTGTAGACCACAGACACCGCCCGGCCTTCTTCCGGTGAGTAGCTGGAGCTTGGGCGAAGGTATATCAAACTGCCACAGCCATACTGCAGAAGGACGACCATTAAGTGGGAGGAACAGGTGGAGAAAGCCCTTTGCCTGCCTGCGGCAGAGCTGATCCTCAAGACGGCAGCCACAATGAAGGCATAGGAGATACAGATTAAGAGGAAAGGGATAGTGATGACAGTAATGCTGACAATAAAAAAGGCAGTTTGGTGGAAATGGGTATCGCCACAGGCCAGTTTCATGACAACAGGGACATCGCAGAAAAAAATATTGATTTCCTTATTGACACAGAAAGGCAAAGTCAATATCAAGATAGAAAGCTGAATGCCAAAGAAGCAAGTCATGGCCAAGGTCCAAACAACAATTTTCACACACACTCTCCAGTTCATGATGACAGTGTAGCTGAGTGGGTGACAGATTGCCACATAGCGGTCATAAGCCATGATTGCTATCAGTACACAGTCAGAGCTTCCCAGGAAGGTAAAGAAGAACATTTGGGTCCCACAGCCAGCCAAGGTGATGGAGACCTTTCTTGCAGAAGCTACGTGGGCCAGAGTGAGGGGTGCAATGGTACAAGAATAAGCAATTTCCAGACATGCCAGGTTAGCCAAGAAATAATACATTGGGGTGTGAAGAGAATGTGTGGTGTAGATGATGAGAACAATGGTAGCATTCCCAAACAGGCTGAGCAAGAAGAGAATCAGAAAAGTCCAGAAAATCAGCTGCCTCATGCCTGGGTGCGTTGTGAATGGCTGGAAGTGGAACTGTATAATTCCAGTTTGGTTTTCAGTCTCCATATAAACCTGCACATCAGCTTGCTATGGGTTAAGAGGAGAGAGGAGAACATTACTGAGAAGCCTGCATTGGGCAACCAGGAAATTAAGTAACACAAATAAATTGTAATGCAACAAACAGGGAAGATGTTGCAAACTTGGCTGATAGTGAATGTGCAATTGATCAACATATTCTTTAATACTGAAGTTCAGACTTCTGTAGGCAGCTATTAACAAGAATGAGACCAGGTTCTTAGAGTAGGTTGTTCACTGAGGTGTCTACATCCATTAAAACCGAGCAACTATTACACTGCCTCTAAATGGCTAGGTTGATACTGAAATGTTTTACAATTTTTTATGTGCTGTAAGCCGCCTAGAGTGATTGTGAAAACCCAGACAGATGGGCAGGGTATAAATAATAAAATAATAAAGGTCAACCAAAGAAAAAAGCTCAACAACTCTGTGCGATCTCCCCCCATTTTCCTAATTTGGAGTCCCCAAAAATAGGGGCGTCTTATACACAGGGACGTGTTATACATGGAAAAGTACAGCATATCATGGTTTATCTCAGCGGTTAGGGTGTTCTTTATGCGATTCCTGCATTCTGGATCTAGGGTGAGGTTTTGGTTTTTGATTTCTGGCACGTGATAGTCTGTCTCCATTCCCCCCCCCTAAAGAAGCTTGAAGCTTATTTTTTACCCCCTCTCCCTAACTCTCACTGTATGGTGTTTGTGTGCATTTGACATATCAGTACATATTTTATTTGTTTTGTTTGTACTTTCTTGGACGGATAGTCATTTATTAGTGCATTAAAAAAAAATCTACCTACTTTCCTACCCTGGTGCATAGGCGCCGACTCCATGGGGCTTGAGGGGGCCCGAGCCCCCTCAAAAATTCGTTTGGGGGGGCTCCGCCCCCCCAATAATCTCCGGCGCCCCTCCAGCAGAGCGCCATCGCCGCCCCTCCCCCAGCCCAAAATGCACAGGGAGGGGCGGGCTGCATGCCTCCTGCCCTCCCTCCCGAGCAAAAGCTCCACCCAATTTCCTTTGGAGCTGATTAATAGGCGCAGCACGCTCTCCCCTATTCGCTCACGAGGAGGCGGCGCCACTTTATTTGCATATTCATGAGCTTATTTATTATTCATGAGCTTTCCCGGGCCCCCCCAATATTTTTTATAAGTCCGCGTCCCTGCCCTGGTGCAGTCAAGAAAACTTGCTAAATGAAGTATCTTTTTCTCATCTCTCTTCTTCAGTTGGCTTAACATACGAGCAGCAACCTGGATATGAATATTTCTTTCCTTTTGTTGCTGTTAAATTCAAAATTATTCCTTCCTTCCCTTATTTCCTTTGTAAAACACTCTCATTGGGGTCAACACATGCAGCCATTTTAGAAGATCTGTGCTTCCATGTCTGTTTCTTTCTTACCTTTATTGACGACAGCAGCTGCTATCTGTTCTTCACACCTCCCGGCATTTGAGACTTTTTAACCTATCTTCTATAGCCCCTTGGGAGTGAACTGCTGATGCAGCCTCTCACCACAGCTCCTATCAGCAAGAGGTTTAGTGAACATTCAACCTGATTTACTTGCCCCAAAATTGAGAGGGTAGACATTATTGACTGTTTATTGAGAATTCATTCAGATTGGTTTGCAGAGAGGTTATATGACCTTGCATCAGGTGTCATCCCATACTTTCCTTTGCATTGTCCTGACACTTTCCCTATTGCCACAAAAAAGGGGGGGTTGGGGAGGGGGAGGTGAACCAGCTTTATTGCACAGACTTTGACTGAGCTGCCTAAATTTGCCAATATATGACTGAATCCCACTGAAAATAGCAACAGTCTGAAAGCACTGTGGATGATGCAGAATATTTTTCTAAGCTCATGGTTGCATTGAGAGCAGTGCTTGGAATGAACTAGTTGAGCTCTATGAAGTTTCCTGAACTAGTTCAAAAATCTCTGAACTACAGCTGAAAGTATATCCCATAATTGGCAGGTGAACTAAGGTGGATTAAGTTCATTTGGGGGTTCAACTTCAAATGATTTCTAGTTCATCTTCTTGTCTATTCCCTCCTCTTCTCCAGGAATAGGCCCAGACTCCTAGCTTTCATTAAAAAAGTCCATCAGACATCTACAAAGAAAGTTAGAAAGCAAACTGTGGAAGCAATGTCCAAAGTCTTATTAGGTGGATATAGAGGTGCTGCTGTTGCTAAGGATGCTTGGTCACTTCACCACGTTTGCTAAGCAACCATAATAAAGGATTGCATGGCATTTCCTGTATCTTCTCTGCTGAAGAGAGTCACTCTCTTCCAACAGGAGCAGCTTGCAGCAGAAAGCACAAATAAAGAAAGGAACAAAGCAAATGATGTTTTGTTGGCACAAAGCAGAGTAAGCCATTTCTAGTATGGAAATACAATTATGTGGAAAGGTTCATCTTTTAACATTCTCTCTATTAGGCATCTTGTGTGTGGTCCCTGATTACCCTGTAGTTCAGCCCAGGAGCTTCTAACATTCTGAATGCTGAAGGTTTTTGTTCTTTTGCAAGAAGATGAACACTTATGAACTAAAATTTGTTCTGAATGAATGTGGGCAGAACTAGTTTGTCTTATAAAGGCGAACGTGAACTAAAATGAACTTTCTAAGCACTGTTGAAAGTTTACTGGGGTTTTGGATTGGCTGCAATATAGGCCACCTGTGGAATCCAGCAATTGTATTTGTTTGTATTTTTTTCATAGTTTAGTTATGGTTGCTGTTGGGGCTCTTTCCTGAAGATGAAAACAGCTCTTTATATTCAGTAAGAACTTCTACATCTCCTCTCCCGATAGTATCACCTTCATTCTGGAGTTGGCCAAGAGGAATCCAGCCTTTTTAAAATCAATTTTTGCCCTTCTTTGTCACCGATCTTTTGAAGAAGTTTTCCAGATTTTAGGCGGGCCTCAACTAGAGCCAGGACTTTTTCGGCCTGTGGCTCCGATCGTGGTGGAACACTCTGTCCACATGAGGACCAGGGGCCCTGCGAGGACATTTGAACATCTTTCCGCAGGGCTGCAAGACAGAGTCTTTTGGCCAGTGCACAGCCTGACCTCGCCTCCCTCGGGCATCTTCGCCAAGAGGCTCTTGGCCCAATGGGTGCCCAAGTGGGCTGAATTAATGGAATGTTTATGAAATGCATGGTTTTAGAAGGTTGTTTAGCTGTACTTTGTGTATTTGTTTAATTGTTGTAGCCGCCCTGAGCCAGCTTCGGGCTGGGGAGGGCGGGATATAAATAAATTTATTATTAATTATTATTAGTATTCAGTTAAAATATGGCCAAAAAGGAAAGGTATTGTTCCCATGTTAATGAACGAAAGATCTTTTTATAAGATGTATGACACTGCAAAGTGGTCTTCAAATAGTATTAGGGATCCATAGAGGCTGAGAGAAATAAATAAGAAGAAAGGGGCAGGATATGTGTTGAGAAACTTTGGAGCACTAGGTTCATATGTAGGCCAGAAATAAGAACCTTTATGAGAAAAATCTTGTTATTCTCAATTCAGTGCAGATCAGTACTGAGAGCAGTAGTGGCAAGAGGTGACCTTGGAGTGTGCAAGGTAGAGTTTCGCTGATGAGTAGATTGTCCACCTGGCGTGTCTATAGGTGGAAAAAGAAAAGCAGCAGCAAGAGCCAGCAAGGGAAAGGAATCATTGATGAGTTCAGTGCTGCAATGGGGAAAGATAAAACCAATTGAAAATTAAGATTTTGGGTGGTGGAATTTCTGCATAGCCTGAGCAAATTTGGTGGCAGTTTTGGAAGTGGAGTTAAGTTCAAGGACAATAGCAGCAGTGGGGGAGCAATCAGCTGGCCGTAAGGGCAAGAGTTACATGTCCCACAGGCTACAAGTTGGTCACTTATGAGCTAGATGGACTAACGGCATGACTTGATATGTGCTATATATGTATTTATATGTATTTTCCTTATGAGGAATTGAAGTTAACAATGACTTTCCAATACTACTCAATCTGAGCTTTCAACCTAGGTGTTCCATATGCAAGCCAACCATTTTCTCCACTGAACTACACTTAGATATGGAGTTGAGTCTGAAAGTGGCAGTGTAAATATTTACTTACACCAGAATTGTCCTTGGAGAATTGAAACTTTATAAACTTACAGCCAGTTCTCTGAGGGTGAACATGCCTTGAGAATTGAAGCATATATGTGCAAGACTCTTAGCTCTGATCAACAATTGCCTCCTCTTAAGGGACACCTTTATCTTTGGGGGACCAAGTATCTTTCTCTGATGCATGAACTTGTAATGTCCTAAAGCACCTTTCATGGCCGTCAGAGAATTATGTTAATTTGTGCATGTCTCATAAGAGATCTCTTTGTTTTAACAAGCCTCTAAGGCATTCTGTCTTGAAATTATTTGTCTGAACAGAGGGCGGGGGGTGCGGAGAGAGAACGTTTGCCTCCTTAACAACTTTTATCACCATTTTACCCATAAATCCCAATAGGATGTTACTTATTTATATTTAAGAAAGTTCTATAGAACTTCCCAAAATAAGAGAAAGAATCTCAAGGTCCTAAGAGAGGGACAATTTAATTTCAAGGTTATTTCTCATCCTTAAAGAAAACAGTAGCTGTTGCAGCGTTTGTTAGCATCACTTTCCCTAGAGATGTAATATATTAGAATTTGAAAGAACTAATTACTGTCTTATAATCGAGGAAGAGGGACAGTCTATACTAAACATTCTGATGGATAAATATCAGTCACCCCCCTCAAAAAGCACTCCCCCAAACAAAGGTTGGTGTCCAATGCACAGGGCCAGCAACCCATTTTCCAATAATAATCCAGCAGAAACCTGGTCTTTTGTGAAGGTTGGCAATTACTATTATTGCATAGAAGAATATCTTATAACACCTTAAAAGTAAATGCTTTTACTTGCACCATTTCTCCTTCCAGTGTTTCAACCACCATCTGAAGCACATGCACCACAGTATGAAAGCAGCTTGAGACTTGCTGCTCTCTGATCTTCTTTACGCTTAATGATC